CCATCAAATCCAGAGGCTGATTTTTCTGCTGGACCAAAAGTCCCTCCATCTCTAGGGCCTCCGACTTACTCTGCTCTGCCAGAGCACCCTCCTGTTCGAAGTCCTGAATGGACTTCAACTGATTTCCAGTCGCTTGTTCCAGTGCTCTGGTAGCTTCCGTCATCAAATCCGTCTTCTCACACAGCCGATCCAGCTGGGCACTTAGTTTTGAGAAACCATCCAAAAGTATTTGTAAAAGCATTGTCCTTCAAGGTCACAAGTCCTTTCTCACGGTGATTTCTCAATTGCAAGCTCTCTGAATTACAATTTCACCAAGTCCCATTAGGGGGAAAACTTCTGTTTCTTCTTTTAAGAGCAATAGCAACACAATTTCTCTTTCCCAAAAATATTTTGTCCAAGATTTTCCCTTTAGAATGCAAAAGGCAACAATAAAGTCACAATGTTACTCTTCTTTTAACTATCTGTCAAACTGGTCAACGAACTTCAAAACGTCAATTCTGACACCCCGCTCCAGGTTCAGGGCGGTGGAAAATTACTTTGTTTTTAAACTCACTTCCGCAGGATTAAACAGTCCAAACACGACCCCCTTCTTCTCCTGCAGTCAAAGGGGTTCAAGAATCTTAAATGTTGAAATCTAGTCCTCCAAAAATTTATTTTTAGGCTCTAGTATATTTTATCTTTGCTTTCTTCTAATAACAAGAGAACGGAAGGCTGACTTCCTGTTTAGACCTTCCCGTTCCAAATCCCGATTAGATCAAATTTCAAGTCCAATTTGTTACTGATCACCAGTCTTTATGAAAATTCAGCTCTACAATATTCAAATACTCACAGGTGAATGTTTTAAATGCCAAATTGTCCCAGGAAAAAGGCAGCGCTCTCCGGCAACGGCAGTGCGGCTTCACTCCATGAAAGTAGCAGACGACTCACAGCACCACGCCACTTCCCCACTCCGGAGCCCGTTACCGGGCTCCTTTGTAAGGTAGAAGGGCGCAAACGGTGCCCGCCGAGTCCCACGGCCACAGGCTTCCTCCGCCTGTGGATTATAAAGGGTCCCCGCTGCGCCGTAGCGGTAGGACCCGATTTCCGTGAAGCGGGTTCCCTTCAATTCGAAGGGAATTCTGCCATTTTCCGGAGGCGCCACCCCTGAAAGTCAGATTTTTGATGAAATTGTGACCCCGGGGCTTAGGGATTTTTTCAAAAAAATCTTTTTCTGCCGGTTAAGTTGTCAAGGGCTGATTTCTTGTCCTGTGATAAAAAGCCTTCTATTTCCATCCCCAAACCTTTCAAAGGATAATTTGCAACCGTTTGGCACCATTTTTGAGTGAATTGCCGAAAGTCAGATTTTTGATGAAATTGTGACCCCGGGGCTTAGGGATTTTTTTAAAAAAACCTTTTTCTGCCGGTTAAGTTGTCGAGGGCTGATTTCTTGTCCTGTGATAAAAGCCTAATATTTCCATCCCCAAACCTTTCAGAGGAGCATTTGCAACCGTTTGGCACCATTTTTGAGTGACTTGGAGAACCTCCGATTTTTCAATGAAATTGTGACCCCGGGCCTTCGGGATTTTTTCAATAAAATCTTTTTCTGCCAGTTAAGTTGTCGAGGGCTGATTTCTTGTCCTGTGATAAAAAGCCTTCTATTTCCATCCCCAAAACTTTCATAGGATCATTTGCAGTCGTTTGGCACCATTTTTGAGTGAATTGCTGAAAGTCAGATTTTTGATGAAATTGTGACCCCTGGGCTTAGGGATTTTTTCAAAAAAATCCTTTCCTGCCAGTTACGTTGTCGAGGGCTGATTTCTTGTCCTGTGATAAAAAGCCTTGTGTTTCGACCGCCAAAATCTTTCATGGAGCATTTGCAACCGTTTGGCACCATTTTTGAGTGAATTGCCAAAATAATATTTTTTATGAAATTGTGACCCCGGGGCTTAGGGATTTTTTCAAATAAATCTTTTTGGGGGGTTAAGTTGTCGAGGGCTGATTTCTTTTCCTGTGATAAAAACCCTTCTGTTTCGACCGTCAAATCTCTCGGGAGCATTTGCAACCGTTTGGCACCATTTTTGAGTGAATTGCCGAAAGTCAGTTTTTAAAGAAATTTTGACCCCGGGGCTTAGTGATTTTTTCAAAAAAATATTTTTCTGCCGGTTAAGTTGTCCAGGGGTGATTACTTTTCCTTTGTTAAAAAGCCTTCTGTTTCGACCGCCAAACCTCTCAGGGGAGCATTTGCAACCGTTTGGAACCATGTTTGAGTGACTTGGAGAACCTCAGATGTTTGATGAAATTGTGACCCCTGGGCTTAGGGATTTTTTTGAAATAAATCTTTTTTGGCCGGTTAAGTTGTTGAGAGCTGATTACTTTTCCTGTGATAAAAAGCCTTCTGTTTCGACCATGAAACCTCTCAGGGGAGCATTTGCAACCGTTTGGCACCATTTTTGAGTGAATTGCCGAAAGTCAGATTTTTGATGATATTGTGACCCCGGGGCTTAGGGATTTTTTCAAAAAAATCATTTTTCAGCCGGTTAAGTTGCCAAGGGCTGATTTCTTGTCCTGTGATAAAAAGCCTTCTGTTTCGACTGCCAAACCTTTCAAAGGAGCATTTGCAACCGTTTGGCACCATTTTTGAGTGACTTAGAGAACGTCAGATTTTTTAAATGAAATTGTAACCCCGGCGCTTCGGGATTTTTTCAATAAAATCTTTTTCTTCCGGTTAAGTTGTCGAGGGCAGATTTCTTTACGTGTGATAAAAAGCCTTCTGTTTCCACCCCGAAACCTTTCAGAGGAGCATTTGCAACCGTTTGGAACAATTTTTGAGTGAATTGCCAAAAGTCAGATTTTTGATGAAATTTTGACCCCTGGGCTTAGGGATTTTTTCAAAAAAATCTTTTCCTGCCAGTTACGTTGTCGAGGGCTGATTTCTTGTCCTGTGATAAAAAGCCTTGTGTTTCGACCGCCAAAATCTTTCGGGAGCATTTGCAACCGTTTGGCACCATTTTTGAGTGAATTGCCAAAATAAGATTTTTTATGAAATTGTGACCCCGGGGCTTAGGGATTTTTTCAAATAAATCTTTTTTGGCCGGTTAAGTTGTCGAGGGCTGATTTCTTTTCCTGTGATAAAAACCCTTCTGTTTCGACCGTCAAATCTCTCGGGAGCATTTGCAACCGTTTGGCACCATTTTTGACTGAATTGCCAAAATAAGATTTTTTATGAAATTGTGAACCTTAGAATTTTTTTCAAAAAAACCATTTTCTGCCGGTTAAGTTGTCGAGGGCTGATTTCTTGTCCTGTGATAAAAAGCCTTCTATTTCCACCCCCAAACCTCTCAGAGGATCATTTGCAACCGTTTGGCACCATTTTTGAGTGAATTGCCGAAAGTCAGATTTTTGATGAAATTGTGACCCCGGGGCTTAGGGATTTTTTCAAAAAAATCTTTTTCTGCCGGTTTAGTTGTTGAGAGCTGATTACTTTTCCTGTGATAAAAAGCCTTCTATTTCCATCCCCATACCTTTCAGAGGATCATTTGCAACCGTTTGGAACCATTTTTGAGTGAATTGCCGAAAGTCAGATTTTTGATGAAATTGTGACCTCGGGGCTTAGGGATTTTTTCAAAAAAATCTTTTTCTCCTGGTTAAGTTGTCGGGGGCCAATTTCTTTTCCTGTGATAAAATGCCTTCTGTTTCGATCGCCAAACCTCTCCGGGGAGCATTTGCAACCGTTTGGCACCATTTTTGAATGATTTGCCGAAAGTCAGATTTTTGATGACATTGTGACCCCGGGGCTTAGGGATTTTTTCAAAAAAATCTTTTTCTTCCGGTTAAGTTGTCGAGAGCTCATTAGTTTTCCTGTGATAAAAAGCCTTCTGTTTCGACCGCCAAACCTCTCAGGGGAGCATTTGCAACCGTTTGGCACCATTTTTGAATGAATTGCCGAAAGTTAGATTTTTGATGAAATTGTGACCCCGGGGCTTAGGGATTTTTTCAAAAAAATCTTTTTCTGCCGGTTAAGTTGGCAAGGGCTGATTTTTTGTCCTGTGATAAAAAGCCTTCTGTTTCTACCGCCAAACCTTTCAGGGGAGCATTTGCAACCGTTTGGCACCATTTTTGAGTGAATTGCCGAAAGTCAGATTTTTGATGAAATAGTCACCCCGGCGCTTACGGATTTTTTCAAAAAAATCTTTTTCTGCCGGTTAAGTTGTCGAGGGCTGATTTCTTGTCCTGTGATAAAAAGCCTCCTATTTCCACCCCCAAACCTTTCAGAGGATCATTTGGAGCCGTTTGGAACCATTTTTGAGTGAATTGCCGAAAGACAGATTTTTGATGAAATTGTGACCCCGGGGCTTAGGGATTTTTTGAAGAAAATCTTTTTCTGCCGGTTAAGTTGATGAGGGCTAATTTCTGGTCCTGTGATTAAAAGCCTTCTGTTTCGACTCCCAAACCTCTCAGG